TCCAGGGACAAGATTAGCAGACAAAGCACGAGACTCCATCTAAGAAATAACACATAATTCATTCATGTTGCATGCATCTTAGACATACTTAGGTGCATCACATTCATCATTTTAGCATATATGATTTTTTGTAGCTTTTAGAGTCAAGTTTCGACTTCAGGTTGAAGGATACTCGATTTGCATGCGCCTTTAAAGATCGATGGTGGTTGCTTAGCTACACCTCAACCAACTTGACATATTTACAGATATCAGAACCAGATCAAAACAAATCCAGTCCGACACAAACTCAACCATGAGCAGTATGTTTCCAGTTAACACTTTCAAGACAAATTTCAATTCCACGATGAAAGATATCCGGCTCATAAAATTTGGCGAAAGGGGCCATCATTCATTTAAAGGAAATTTACTGCACAACTTAAGTCAAGAAAAGTTGTCTGTCAACAAACAACTTTCCAACTTCATTCAGAGTCTATTTCAACTTCGCAGCGAAGAAAATTGAACTCCAGACAATGCAAGTTCAACTTCACGACGAAGGGACCGCTGGTTGTCAATAAACAATTTTCCAATTTCAGAGCCAATTTCAACTTCACAACGAAAGATATTGGACTCCAGACAACGCAAGTTCAACTTCACGACGAAGGGACCGCTGGTTGTCAATAAACAATTTCCCAATTTCAGAGCCAATTTCAACTTCACAACGAAGGATATTGGACTCAAGACAATGCAAGTTCAACTTCACGACGAAGGGACCGCTGGTTGTCAATAAACAACTTCCTAATTTCAGAGCCAATTTCAACTTCTCAGCGAAGGATCTTGGACCCAAGACAACACAAGCTCAACTTCACGACGAATGGGCGGCTGATTGTCAACAAAATTTCATTCAGAGTCAATTTCAACTTCAAAACGAAGGATATTAGACTCCAGACAACGCATGTTCAACTTCACGACGAAGGGACCGCTGGTTGTCAACAAACAATTTTCCAATTTCAGAGCTAATTTCAACTTCACAGCGAAGGATATTGGACTCAAGACAACGCAAGTTCAACTTCACGACGAAGGGACCGCTGGTTGTCAATAAACAACTTCCCAATTTCAGAGCCAATTTCAACTTCACAGCGAAGGATATTGGACTCCAGACAGCGCAAGTTCAACTTCACGACGAAGGGACCGCTGGTTGTCAACAAACAACTTCTCAATTTTAGAGCCAATTTCAACTTCACAACGAAGGATATTGGACTCCAGACAACTCAAGTTCAACTTCATGACAAAGGGACCGCTGGTTGTCAATAAACAATTTCCCAATTTCAGAGCCAATTTCAACTTCACAACGAAGGATATTGGACTCCAGACAACGCAAGTTCAACTTCACGACGAAGGGACCACTGGTTGTCAACAAACAACTTCTCAATTTTAGAGCCAATTTCAACTTCACAACGAAGGATATTGGACTCCAGACAACACAAGTTCAACTTCACGACGAAGGGACCGCTGGTTGTCAACAAATAATTTCCCAATTTCAGAGCCAATTTCAACTTCACAGCGAAGGATATTGGACTCAAGACAATGCAAGTTCAACTTCACGACGAAGGGACCACTGGTTGTCAATAAACAACTTCCCAATTTCAGAGCCAATTTCAACTTCACAGCGAAGGATATTGGACTCCAGACAACGCAAGTTCAACTTCACAACGAAAGGACGGTTGGTTGTCAATAAACAATTTCCCGATTCCATAGCCAATTTTAACTTCACGACGGAGGATATTGGACTCAGAACAATGCTACTTACATTGGATTTCAACTTCACAATGAAGGATATCCAATTACAAGGCTCAACTTCACAAACAGATTGACCTAACTTCATGACGAATGAGTCATATGTAGCACAACAACACCAAAGTCTTCAGGTCAAGTTTCACCTTCACGACGAAGTATCTTGAGCTATAAGACGATCCAAGAGCCACTTCACAATACTCTGAGTTCGATTTCGACTTCACGACGAAGGATTTCGTACTTAGAATTTTCCAATTTCAACTCAATTTCATGACGAGGGAGTCAGTTCGTGCTTTAATCTAGATTGATAAGCCTTGATATTGGATTTCAACTCTACGACAGAGGATATTCGACAAATATGAATGGGTGGTGTTAAATTTGGATACATTCACGTTGAACGAAAAGTGTCTTTTAATATTTGCCCTACACACGTTACACAACTATGGACAAAGAGGGGCAGCTGTAGACACACTTTTTTGACCAGAACATACGTATATACGTATTATATATATTATACATATTATTAATTTCGTTTTTTTACATTTACAGGCCCCAATAAATGTTTACAAAACATGTGGCCCAGCAACCCGTTTTTCAAACCAGCATTGACCCATCTGCTGAAACTTGTGGCTCGAACCAATGTAAATTAGGGTTTGTGTGAAACCCTAATCTCCCACCTCAGCGCCGTTTCCTTCCCAAGCATCTCAACAGCGCCGCATGGAGTCAACCCCACATCCGAGTTTCACGGTTACACGACACCAGAGTCGGTTTCCTCGACAGACACGACACCAACGCAAAATAACAGAACAACAAACCAAGAGTTACATTTGTAATCGAACTCCTAAAAATAGGAGTTATTTCTACTATAAAAACATGTAACTAGAATATGATTGGGGACAGAGTTTTACATTAGAAATCAGGAGAGAGTACACGCCGTATTACACACGATTACTGGTGAGAGATTTACACACAAAGATCACACACGAAATATCAGAGGTATTCGAACGAAAAAAGGAAAATACAAAAGAAACTTGGAACCATTTTCGAAAGAGAGGAACCAGTTCAAGAAAAAATACAGAAAAAATTCGAACCAAAGAGAAGAGGAGAGAGCTCTTACATTCATTGGAGCGTCTGAAATCCTACAAGTCGCCGGGGTCGCATGATCTTTCGGAAGCATCTAAGCGAAGGATTTAGGGCTAAACCAGAACCCGTAGAGAAGAGTGTCAGAATAAACAAAAGCAAAGAGAAAAGGCTACAAAGAAACGTCCATGGTTGTTTAATGTGGTGAGAAGCTATGTATGGCTGTGATTTAAGTTTATTTGCTTTACTTTAGGTCATTTCAATCAACAGTTGCATGATAAGAATTTGATGTCTGAAAATTAAAAGGAAAAAAAATGCCAAAAGAAAAATCCAAATTAATCACGCATGAAAATTAAAGGATTTTTGAGTTTCATATAATTTTTGGGTTAACTAGGGCATGGGTCATTAAAGATTTCCATATTTGTAGCTTTGGAGTTGTGTTTTTATTTCTTTCAATTTGGTCACTAATTACATTTGTTTTAATTTTAGACCTCTATTTTAATTTTATTTTAATTTAGTCATTTTTATTTTATTTATTTTTTTCTTTCACGGTTTAAGTTTAAATATTTTATTTTTTTTTTAGTTTATTCTTATTTTATTTTTTTAACTAACTCTCTTACTTTTTTTATTTTATTCGTTTTATTTTCTTTATTTATTTTTTATTATTTTTTATTATTATCTTTTTTTATTAACTTTTAATTATCTCTGTTACTTATTTTATCTTAGAATTTTTTCCCTCATATTTATTTTTATTTTATCATCTAACATTTTTTTGGCATTTTCAGTGGTAATTTCAATCGACCAAAGGTAATAATTCGAATCAAATATTTCAAATTTTAATTTTAATTTCAAATTTTCGCAAATAAGACAATCAATAAATTAATTGGTACCGAAAGGACGGTTCAAGGGTGCTAATCCTTCCTTGACTGTAACCGACTCCCGAATCCGATATATCTCTGGTAAAATACAGATCAGGTAATAATAGGGTATCCGATCAACCCATTTGCTTAAAATAAACGATCGGTGACGACTCCCAATCCACATTTTCTAAGTCGAAACCCAATTCTGAGATCCCACCGAAAGACGGTTATGACAAAACGCAACTCCATAAATGGCATTAATGTGAAGCGACATCCACCAACTATCATTTGTTCCATATCCAAACAAACAGATTTTTTTTTTCTGAATAAGATTTTTGATAAATTACTCTAAAAATCACTAAATTATTAGTTGATTCTGTTTTAAACATAAACTAAATATTTTAACGATTAAACCACTAAATTTTAAATTTATACCTAATCAAATTATTGATTATTAAATGTTAATGCATTAACGGTCTACTAATTAAACAAATTTATATAATAAATAATACATTTGATCTTCATTATATATGTTCTATTAATTTAATAAATATAATCTTTCTATCATATAAATATGTATAAATTTACTTAACAATAATATATCAATAATTCCTTTTACAATTTAACACGATCGTTATCTTAATTAGATCCAAATAAAAAAGTTAATGATCAAATTAACAGTTTGTAATTTAATGATCAAAATAAAATCAAACCAATAATTTAATCACCTTAAAATGATTCACTCAAAAGATAATCATTCTGGTGTTTTATTACTTATTATTGGTAATTCCATTAACTGATGGTGGCTCTATTATAGTAGATATAATTTACTTTTTAAGATTTTATTAAGTTCAACAGATATTCCCCGAATAAACAAGAAAATAAAAAAGTTGTCACATACATTAAAAACAAGATATACACATTTTCTCAATAAAATTGTTAAGTTATTTGGAAAAATAAAAATTTAAAAATAAAATATTTCTTCGATTTGACCCCATACTTCAATTTGATATAGTTTAATCCCTATTTCTTCGATCTTTAAAATTCCAAACCCGTTCTCATCCAACTTGATCATTTGAGTCCATGTGATAAAGCATATTACCCTATACAATTTTTGATCAGGACTGATTACAAATTTTCGAAAATACAGGGACTAGAATTTCAAAATTAACTATAATCGACCATATGTAATACACAAGCTGTGAGGGTCCCCAAAAGCAAGCAGTTGACAATATCATCATACACTTTGGGCATCTTTGCAAAAACCAATTCATGAATTTAGTGAATAAATGAAAAACGATTATAAATCTCTTAACAGTATATTTTCTATACAATCCCCACTCACCAGCCCTCTGAATGGAAAATTTCAAGTGACAATAAATGCAAAATCAAAATCTCTGAGTACTAAATTACACCGGTACTTAACACGAAATGCTTTTACCTAGACTGCGTTGACGACTCCAAACTATTGGGAAAACATGCAGGTTGACATCTTCTCATACAGCTGAATGGAACGGATCTAAAATACTTGATAACGGCTCCTGCAGTACTGAATAATGAGCCTCCTCCGGGCTTCTTCGCTTATTACAACAAAGTTGGATGTAACCTCCAGCAACAGATTTCCACCCAATAGAATTGCTGCCCATCTGATTTTTGATCTCTAATTGTAGATTTTTACAGGTTTCTCGAACGTATGACGGTTCTGTAAAATTTAATCAAGACGATAAATCATCTCACCAATGAAAGATGTATTTCCTTTCTCATCAACCAACTTATGTGGTACGGAGAGGCAACTAGAGTCGATAAAAACCCAAGTTTCCTCTACTAACAATGAGCTTAAATTTAGAATCTTATTTCAAACAAATCTCAATAGACAACTGTTCATTCCACTATAATTCCGTAATTATTGGCATCAGTTTAGAAATCAGTTATTCGTATAAAGTAGCAGAGGAACATAGTGGCTCGGTTCAAAGTTCCAGAACTAAGAATAAATTGAGAAATATTATACCTGATTTGCAGCATATGACCGTTTAGGGGCATTATCAGTGTGTTCCAGTCCAAGATACTGTTCCCAGGCACCATATACATCCCGTCTCTACAAAAACAAAGATCAATGAGAAAAAGAGCACAACATCTCAGGAAAAGTGATAAGTACAAAACTTAAAGGTGATAGATATAGAAAGAACCTGAAAACGAGTAGACACAACATCAGAGTCCAGAAGATAATCGGGACGACTTAGTGACGGAAAAGCAAACTTCCACTGGAGGGGGAAAAAAACCATGAAGCAATTACTTGGAATAATGGGCAGATTTTGTACAAGTGTTCAGTTTGCTTAAATCTATTAAAGAACATAAGGGGTAAAGAAAGGAGAAAATAATATAGAAAACATAAAAGCAATGCAATATCGATAAACCATAATAACTTGGTTTTTTGTCACATACCTTGGCAAATTCCTCATCCGGAACCTGTAATCTTTTCTGAATTCGCACTTTAACTTCAGCTAATGTTTCACCCTCGTGAATAACAAGGAAAAATGGCTCTCCAAAATTCTGAACTTGCTGTTAAGGTTGACAAAAAGGTTAATGAGCAAAACAAGTAAATCTTTATGTGAAGAGGTTTATTAAACATTCACCAATACAAAATTAAAAATATATTTGAAACAAAATTGGTCAACCCATGGGTGGGAATAGCATTCATGATCTATCACCTGGTTTTGTGTTGTATCTTTCGTAAAATGGTAAACATGAATCATGCGATCATGAGGACCAAGGTTTTTCTCCTCTTCAGGTATCTAAGGCAATAAGAAATCAAGATCAAACACGATTGAAAAAGGGAACAGAAGAAAGAAACAGTAAAACAAGAGATTCAGCAATGCGATACTCGTAAAATGTTTCAAGGCAGTGGCATGGAAACTTAAAAAGGTTTAAGATTGGTAAACTGCATTAAAAAACAAATCAGGACATGCTTGGAGAACAAAGAGCATTACCTCCTCTGCACGTAATGTCCAATATTGATCATTTATGTTCTCTATCTTTTCAGTGAGCGGGAAGATCTGCAAAACCAAAATCAGACAACAATGTTAACAAAGCAATCATAATTTGTAAGAATTCCTAAACAAACCATAAAGAGTTCAGATTCTGGAATTCTTGCATTTGTCTGCCAGGTACCTAATCGGTCATTGAACAACTCCAGCTAATGATCAGTACTTTATTTCGGTCATTGAATGGGACTGCCCCAAAGATGGACATTACTTTTTTTAGGTTCCAAGGAAATAAGGAGTGTACAATTTTCAATTTTAGACAAACAGAAACTAAAATACTTGAATGCTCCGTTTGGGAACAACTTGGATTTGGATTTTACTTGCAATGTAAATGATAAAAAAAATAAAATGTATGCACTAGAGATAAATAGTTATGATTCAATACAATATAGTAAAAACGTGTATTTATCAAATCCAAATTTACAGTAGGTATTTCAAAATCACAACTAAATAGGCTTCTTGCAAATGCGCATGGATTTGAGAAATAACAATGATTGTTGCATTTTAAAGTGTTTTATTACTCAATTTACTACCTTTAAAATCGAACTCTCAAATTTTGAAATTCAAGTTCCCAAACGCTACCAAAAATAATTTAGCAAAAGTATGGTTATAAGACAAAAAAATTAGGAAAATACAATTAAATAATGGCTATGAAACATCTAAGGAGATTTAGTTGGATCTGACCCTTGCTTACAATCTAAATGCGAGCAAGCAATCAATATGAAACAGTTCAAATAGGCAGCAAAGATATCCCAAAATATGCTGCTACAATTAGTTCAAATAGTAGGCAATCAATATGACATCGAAGAAAATTAGTATCAACACTAATTAGGGCAAGAAAACTTTACAAAAGCAATGTAAAACACAAGTCCTAATCATAACTCAGCAGGCTCATGCAGCCAAACACAGGAGCGACCACATTACAAATAGCAATTATGAAAGTCAAGTCATTTCAAATTAGACATTACTGTTATTCAGGTTTTTAATCTTTGATTTAAGAGTAGATAAATTTACGTTGAATCTTTCTAGTTCACATTTCAGGCGTAGGGCATTTCAGATTTGTGCTTAGCTGGCTTTCTTTTCCTGGTTAAATGGGTTGAGTGAGTTTTTTTTTTTTTGGGGGGGGAGAGGTTTCAAGTCTACTTTGCCAACTCTACACATACACATGCTTGCACATCAGTTTTTACGCATAAAATCCAAGGGAACGCAATAATGTTAATCAATGCTGCAAGGAAAATTATTGGATACCTTGTAAATCTTGTGATAGAAAACCTCAAGTAATCTAAGTTCGGCACCAGGATGAGACAACTCCACCTGTACCACATGAAATGCAAAGCAACTTGTTGAATTCCTATCTTCGAGGAAAAATATGGATATAATTCCCACACAAAGTTTTAACTGTACTTATTTTTCACATAAATAAAGTTATATGAACAATTAAGCAAGGATATGGATCAAGGAAAAGATGATTCTGCAAACCAGAAAATGATATTATGTTTTCAAGAAGCTAATTATACCGTCATTGTAGAAATCAGAGTAATGGTATAGAAATCCGAGTAATTCTCTGTATTTTCTTATTCTTTTCAATATGACAGATTACATATTTATATACAAAATATCTCTCTAAAGTAGGAAACTCTAAGAAAGGAAAAATAATAATCCTAGAATATGATCCCTTAAAATAAGGGATTGTAGAAATCTATTTACAAAATCATCTCATGGTAACAAATCATCTCTATAATTCCTACACTCCCCCTCAAGTTGGAGAATATACATTGTATAATCTCAGCTTGAATAGAATTTATTGAAAACAGGCTTTGGCAAAACCTTAGTAAGAATGTCTGCAACTTGTTCTTCTGAAGGAATGTATGAAAGTGTGGCTGTCTTTTTGTTAACTTGATCAGCAATAAAATGCCTATCAATCTCAACATGCTTTGTCCGATCATGTTGAACTGGGTTCTTGGCAATTTGAATAGCAGATTGATTATCAAACAAAACTTCAAAGTGATCCTCTTGATTAGTGACAAGTTCTTTCAGTAGTTTAAGTAGCCAAATTCCTTCGCATATTCCCAATGCTAGTGCTCTAAATTCAGCTTCAGCACTACTTCTTGAAACGACAGATTGTTTCTTACTTCTCCAAGTTGTAAGGTTTCCCCAAACAAAGGTGCAGTAGCCACTAGTGGATCTCCTTTCAGTAAGGTCTCCGGCCCAACTAGAATCTGTAAAGATCTTAACAGTTCTGTCTTGTGTCTTCTTAAACATTAAATCGTGTCCTGGAGTTTTCTTCAAGTACTTGAGAATTCTATTTGTTGCTGCCATATGCTCTTCAGTAGGATTGGTCATGTGTTGACTTATCACATTTACAGGAAATGCTATATATGGCCTTGTCAAGGATAAATAAATTAGTTTCCCAACTAATCTTTGAAATTTCTCTTTGTCTACTAAGGACCCATCTTTGTTGAATTTCAAGCTTGCCTCCATTGGTGTATCATTCAGCTTACAACCAAGAAAACCAGTTTCTTTGAGTAAATCAAGTACATATTTTCTTTGGATGATCACAAGTCCTTCTTTTGACCTTGCCACCTCCATTCCTAGGAAATACCTTAGTTTTCCCAAGTCCTTGGTTTCGAATTCCTTATTTAACAACTTCTTCAAATTGCAAATCTCTTCTTCATCATCTCCGGTAAGAATTATGTCGTCCACGTACACAATAAGGATAACTTTCTTATCTATAGAAGTTACCTTGATGAAAAGAGTATGATCGGCGAGGGACTGCTTGTAGCCGTTTTTTAGGATGACTTTAGTGAACCTCTCGAACCAAGCTCTGGGTGATTGTTTTAACCCGTATAGAGACTTGTTGAGCTTGCAAACCTTATTGCTACCTCCAGCAGACTGTAAGCCAGGTGGCATTTTCATATAGACTTCTTCTTCTAGCTGGCCATTAAGAAAAGCGTTTTTTACATCAAGTTGGTGTAATTGCCAATCGCAATTTACAGCCAAACTTAGGAGTACTCGAACAGTATTCAGCTTCGCCACAGGTGCAAAAGTTTCTGTGAAATCTATCCCATATGTTTGCGTAAAACCTTTGGCCACTAGTCTCGCTTTGTATCGTTGGATGCTACCATTAGAGTTATACTTTATAGCAAAGATCCATTTATAGCCAACAGCCTTTTTTCCTTGAGGAAGGTCTGTAACAGTCTAAGTAGCATTTTTCTCTAGTGCAGAAATTTCCTCTTCAACAGCCCTTCTCCATTTAGAATCCTTTAGAGCTTCAGTTATGCTTGTGGGAACCTGTTCTTTATCCAAGGTTACTGTAAATGCTTGAAAAGAAGGCATCAGAGAATTATAACCAACAAATTTTTCAATAGGATGCTTGGTGCACTGTCTAACTCCTTTTCTAATAGCAATAGGGAAGTCATCTAGAGTAGTGGAAGTAGACTTACTGATTTCTTCTTCTATTTCGGCAACTGGACCCAAATCAAATTCTCGACAAGAATCAGATTGCAAAACAACCTCAGGAATGTGTTTTCTTTTCCTTGTATAGAAACGGAGTTGTTTGATTGGTGTTGTTTGTGCAAGATTTTGAATGGGAGTAGGTATATTTTCAGAAAGGGTATTTAAAGTGGGTATGGGTGAAGTAGTGATATGAATTACCGGTGGATCAATGGGAGTAGTTACAGGTGACAAATCTATAGGTAAAGACAAGGATGATGGCAATTCTGAAGGTTGAGAATGAAAAGTGAGTGGAGATACCTGATATGGCTGAAAATCCCTCCATGTCTCCCCCTGAATTTCAGCCTGAATGAAATAGGGATCCTGCTCATAAAAAGTGATATCCATAGTGGTGAAAAATCTTTTAGGAGGATGATAGCATTTATAACCCTTCTTGAGTGAAGAATACCCAACCAATACACACTTTATAGACTTAGGATCTAACTTGGACTTATTAGTAGCAGTGTTTTGGATAAAAACAGTACAACAAAATATTTTAAGAGGTAGAATGGAGGATATAGGTTTAAAATGTGAAAAGTATTGCAAAAATATAGATTGAGGTGTTTTAAAGTGTAAAATCTTACTAGGCATTCGGTTGATTAAATATGTGGCAGTTAATAAGGCTTCCCACCACAAATATTTTGGAACATTAGTGGTAAATAGAAGTGAACGAGTAACTTCAAGGAGGTGTCTATTTTTTCTTTCAGCAACGCCGTTTTGTTGTGGGGTTCCAACACAAGAACTAAGCTGAACTATACCCTTTTCCCTGAAAAAAGCACCCAAAGACTTAGCAAAAAATTCACTGCCATTATCAAATTTAAAGAGCTGGATTTTGGTTCCAAATTGAGTGAGAACCATGTTATAAAATTGGGAAAAAACACCAGCAATTTCGGATTTATCTTTGAGCAAATAAGTTTAAGTTATCCTACTGTGATCATCAATGAAAGTGATAAACCACTTACCATTATCAACATTCTTCACCCGAGAAGGACCTCAAATATCACTGTGGATCAAGGCAAAAGGGTGAGAAGGTTTGTATTTAGAAGGAGAATAAGATGATTTAGTGTGTTTGGCAAGAGAGCAAACTTTGCAAGAAAAGGAAGTTGGCTTTTTATTAATGAATAGAGTAGGAAACATCTTTGCAAGATAATGGAAACTAAGATGGCCTAAACGAAAGTGCCACAACATAACAGTATCATTTTGTTCTAAAGCGGTGAACGATTTAGAGATCTCGATTGTAGTAGATGAAGGGAGGATGTAGAGGCCATTCTGCAAGCTGGCCTTGCCAATCATCTTCTTCGAGTTCAGTGCTTGCAAAGTACAGTCAATATCAGTAAAAATTGTAGAGCAGTGCAAGTCGATGGAAAGTTTACGAACTGAAATGAGATTGCAAGCCAGAGTTGGTACAAAGAGAACATTTTTAAGTGTCATATGTTCATTGAGAACCACAGTGCCATGACCTTCTATTTTGCACATGGAACCATCAGCCGTTTGGACTTCCTTACCGACGTTTGGGAAAAAATTATAAAACAACCCCTTGTTACCAGTCATATGATCCGTTGCACCAGAATCGAGGATCCAATTAGGAGTCCACTGAGAAGATAAAAAAGCTGTAGGATAAAGGTTACCTTCTGATTCTTTTATGACCAGATTACTTTCACAAGGCCCTTGAAACTTTTCAAACAGTTTCTGAAGTTCAACAATCTATTCTTTGGTGAAGCGAGTGACAGAGTTGGCAGCGACTAGGCTAGATTTATTATCTTGAGAGGTCTTGGACTTCCAGTCCTGAGGTTTACCATGAATCTTCCAACACTTCTCTTTGGAGTGGCCGGGCTTTTTGCAATGTTCACACCAAGGTCTCCCCCGTTTCGAAGTATTAGATGATTGATGAGTAAGGCAGATCCTTCAGGAGTGGAATATGGTTCATCAGGCAACATCACACACCGACGACTTTCTTCCTTCTTGACAATAGCGAAAGCCTCTCGAAGGGAAGGAAGAGGAGAAATAGCCAGTACTCGGCCACGAACCTCGTCTAATTCCTTGTTTAAGCCTTGGAGAAATTGAAAAAGTCTTCGCTGAGTTACAATTTTTTGGTAAAGGGTAGCATCTCTTGGATCTGCCCAATCATGTTGTGCATACAAATCTAATTGTTGCCAAAGGCCGGTTAAGGTATTGTAGTAAAGAGTGACAGGCATGGTTCCCTATTTGAGAGTGGCTGCTTGATCTTCAATGTGATATAACTCGGCAATATTATCAGTGCTGGAGTATGTTTCGCGGACTGCACTCCAGATTTTAGCGGCTGTGTTGTACAGAAGAAAATTTCTGCTGATACTCGGGATCATGGAATTGAGGAGCCAAGTCATAACTTTGACCATTGTCACGCATCCACTTAGAAAAAACATTGTCAGTCGCAGCAAGCTTATGGATTTCACCAGTAACATAGCCCAATCTTTCTCTGCCTAAGAGAAAATTTTTAACCGATTGGGACCATTCAAGAAAATTGTTGCCATTCAATCGATGGCATGTAATAACCAGACCAGATGATTCTGTTTGAGTGTTAGAATCAGACATATTTTCTGGATTTGAAATAATCTTCTGAGTTAACGAAGGAGATGTAGGAGAAGAAGTTGTGGACATGGTCTAGGTTGGAAAGAAACCGTAACCTAAGCTGATACCCCATGTAGAAATCAAAGTAATGGTATAGAAATCAGAGTAATTCTCTGTATTTTCTTATTCTTTTCAATATGACATATTACATATTTATATACAAAATATCTCTCTAAAGTAGGAAACTCTAAGAAAGGAAAAATAATAATCCTAGGATATGATCCCTTAAAATAAGGGATTGTAGAAATCTATTTACAAAATCATCTCTCTATAGGAATGGTAACAAATCATATCTCTATAGGAATGGTAACAAATCATCTCTATGATTCCTACAGTCATACATGTCACTTTATCATCTATAAAACGAAAACATTAATACAGCAACAAAACAAATCTTTGTTACGAAAAATGGAGCAAGAAAAAAAATTTGGCTTTCTAATTTTTCTAGAAAACATTATAGCTTATTGGAACCAAAAAAGGTGTCATATAGGTGGGTGGGTGAATAACTTTAACCATTAAAGAAAAAGAAAATTATCAATCCGAAAAGAAACTTTTAAAATCTTCCACACCACTATGCTAGAAATATTCTTTTTCTTTTTTTACTTTGATCTTCTCAGTCTTCTTCCACTATAAAAGCAGGACATGCCTAAATTTTTTGTAATTTCAGTTGGAACAAACCATGATGTCAAAGTAGTTGGACTCAACATTTAGGTCTACAGAGCTGGAGAAAGGCTCAAACTTAAATGGATATGGATCTGTGTCAGATCATTAGACTCATTTGAGGAGATAAAACCACAAATTGGAGAGTGTGATGCAAAGAAAACGCCAAGGGAAAGAGAGAAAAAAGGGAAACTAAAAGGAGGGTAAAAATATTGGAAGAAATAAACTATTATAGGTGAAGAGAGCATAGGAGAAAAGTTACTTGGGAGATGGGTAAGAGAGATAAATGGTAAGATGAGTGGAGAGCTGAAGAAAAACAGAGTATTTTAATTTCTTAATAACAGTAATTAGAAGTATTTTTATAAAGGCAATAGATACATGGAAATGTTACCCAAAGAACAACATAGTTTGCTTAATAAATTAGTGTAAAAAAATTGCAATCGTTACCATTGTCTTCAGGTCAACAAGAACATCCCTTACAGTGCTCTGCTTTGGCAATCTAATAGTATGAATAACTACCTGAGAATTAACATAATTTATGAGGGGAACAATAACTGACAATATACACTAAAATAAACAATAATTGAAGTAATTTAATTTTATAATCAACACTCACTTCATCTTTGGTAGCATGATGAAAAGCAACTTTCAAAGTTTTGAGGCCTTGGAGTTCTGGCAAAGGTATATCCAACACTTCATAATATAGAATATCAGAAGTCTACCAAAAACAGAAATATAAATTGTTTCAGAAATAATCAAAATTATTATAATCGACTGAAAAATGTTAAAGGAGCAATGACTGGTATCAAAAAGAACTAAAACAAAACCTGATTGTAGTGAATCAGCATGTCAGACAAATGTTCCACTCCTCGGTATTTGATAGGTTGGGGTTTAGGTTGCTGAGAATAACAGTTATGGGATGTAAGCCTAATTTTGGAAGGATCATCCAAGCCAAGATGTCGAGCCACCTTTTCAACAACATCATCATAATTATGAAGCTTTGACCTAGGCAAGTCATTATGAGTGTGAACAATATAAAACGAAATTCAGTCAAACTCATTACTCTCTGCTCATAATGCATCCACTTAAAGTGTAGAATTTAGTAATAACTTACAACTCGAGAGAAAATTCATCATCCTTTGGCTTTTCTAGAGATCTGAACCGAACAACCTACATATCAAAATAAATAAAAATTTCAAGAATAAAAATCCTCAATTACACTAAACCTTAAAGCATGTACAATATAATGGGTTTAAAATAAAAGCCACAGACCTCCAACAAAGCATCAGTTACTAGTCCTCTACTAGATTTTGAACATATATTACAGATGCTGATTACATAAAGGTAAATTTAACTGACTGAAATAAAAGTCTTCCCTCTCTACAGTTCCATTTAATAGATGCTTTTACACTATTTTTGGGGCAAAAGAAAAATGCTAGTATGCAATAGAAAAAGAAAAACATAAAAATGAATAGGAAAAAAAAAGAGAGAAATGGCAAAAAGTAAAAAGCAATCGTCCAAGCCTAAAACTTAATGTTGTGAAGGATAGAAATTAAAAAGATGAAACCCACATCTCGAGTTTCTCCCCCCAAGAAAGCACAAAACTACAGCTAAAATTTTAAAGAAAAAAAATCTGCGATCAACATCCAGAAATCTCGATCCATAAAGAACATCAAAATAAATTGCTGCAGCCAGGAAAAGAAAAAATAGAATCTCATCAATGGTCCAATCTTCATATGGTAACAACTTCTCAAGGAAATAATACAGCTACCAAGGAGATTATTCATATACCTGACGATTGTGCACATACTCCAGAAACGAAGGAACATCAGGATAACGGCATTGTTCGCTAACAACTTCAGAAAATTTTTGAAGGCATATAATATCACCATCTTCAAGCTGCAAACATACACAGAGACTAATTAATAACAAAAATGATAATAATAATAAGCGCTAATAAAATTAGGAGAAACGGCAAAAATTGTTCAAATATCGAGATACAGATAATTGATTAAAAGAAGATTAATGATTTTATAATAAAGGCTTGCCAACTTATGAAAGAAAACTTTGTAATTGAGAATTGATTTGCCACACCTGACTGGTACGGAAAGTGAGCTTCTTGTCAATGCATTCACACATGACATTGGGTTCAAATTTTATTTCCTGTGAGGAAGAGACAAGTGAGATGTGGTAAACACATTCTTTGGAAACAAGATGCAACAAAAACATAATAACCAAAGCAACCTCATAAAGTTCAATCTCTTCATCAGGATCAAAGCCCGCCATTTTGTTGATCCTTGCCAGTATTTCCATTGGCTTCCCTGCACCCTTCACAAACATCCTCCCGATATAACTGACATCATAGAAATGAAAGCATCAGTAATAACAAATAGTTCCACTCTAAATAAAAGCAGGATGTGGGAATCACCGAAGCTCCTCCTTGTACGGATCATAGAGTTTAAAGAAAAGAAGAATATCTTCTTTAGTCTTCTCGGGCAGAGCTATTGGCTGCAAATCCTGAATAATGCTAAAGATCAGAAATAGAGCACCATCACAAAAACAAGAGCTTCAAGCAAAGCCAAAATGTAAAAGATATTTATCAAATAAGTACCGGCCCAAGCTCCTCTTCTAGAAACAACTTCAGCTCTGCATTGTTTGCCTTGTTTGAAACCTCTCTCAGTTGCCCTACCTAGTTGAAGTTATTACAGAGGTCAAATGATACACACAATACTGTATTAGGATAACATAAAAGAACAAGACATACAACAGTAAGCAAAGCAGATAATGTAGGTAGACCACTAGGCTACAGCTGCCAGAAACCTGGAAAAAGTTTACTACAAATGTTACTACATATCCATATTTATGACTAGCAGAATGCACATCAATGGAATCACACAATCAACCATACTACACATTATTCAATATATAACCAAAATTCGATTAATGACTAGAGAGTTAAATCAATGCTAGGACCCGGGTACAAGGGTCAGCTGCTGATACGAGTTTAAACCATAGGACATAGGTCATAAAACATGCTTCAGGTTAAAAGTTAAAAGCAGAGGAACCAAAGTCCACTTACTGATTGTGCTTCCTCCTGATGAGTTAACGGTCGATTTGGACGGTATGTATGGTTCTGCCGCTTGGCCCACAACCAAAAACGTTGGTATTGTACAGGAATACCAAATTCTTTAGCAACTTCTTCCTGATAATAAACAATAGGACATTAAGTGTCTTAAGACTTCCAGCTTTTGCCTGGCATTAACTTCCAAACTTGCAGACTACAGAAATTTATGCTGGGCAAAATAAATAGCATCACAAAATAAAAAGAAAATATGAACATATCTAACCGGAAAGAATACCCTCCAAGGACCATGCATGTGGAGAAATCCATCAAATTTTAGTTCAAATACAACAGAAAATACAAGCAGAATAAAGTGAGTGTTGGGCGCGGGGGGAATCCACATTTAATCATCTCCAAAATTAAGACAGAAATTTTGGTTATAAGTTCTGGCTCCCAACATACCACCAATACATAATATCTAAGTTTTACTGAGGCCACCAAAAGTTCCTCAAAATTGATATTTCATTAGAATAAAATCATACAAGAATGGCACTAATACAAGCTTTCAGAATACATGCCTTTAAGATTGGGCCTATGGATCTTGGGCAGTAACCTTGTAAAGAGTCTTGATAGGCTAGTTAGATAATTATTAGTATATATGTAAGTGGCTGCAAATATTGGATGCGTAAGAAGAACGATTATGATATTCAGTATCCATTTACCCTTGACTCTCACTTTTTTCTCTCTGTTCTCCTAATCTTCTATCTTCTCCTACTTCTTGTTTCTTATTTATATGGTCTGTTTTTAGAAAGGCCATATCAAGTACATAGCATGGAAAGCTAAACAACATATACAGGATACTTGACTAACAGGAAAGTACAGCATTTCAAAGAGAGAAGATTTGGAGAGAAGGCTGTAGGAATTATAGAGATATATGATTTGTTATCATTCCTTTAGTTAAGGGATTCTGTAAATAGTTTTCTACAATCCCTTATTTTAAAGGATCATATCTTCTAGGATTAGTATCTTTCCTTACTTAGAGTTTCCTACTTTAGAGAGATAATTTGTATATAAAGTTGTAATCCGTCCTATTGAAAAGAATAAAATACAGAGAATTACTCTGATTTATACATGGTATCAATTTAGGTTACGGTTTCTTTCCAACCTAGACGATGTCCACAACTTCTTCTCCTACTCCAAAGATCACTTCAAATTCAGAAAATCTTTCTGGTTCTGCTGCTCAATCAGAAGGTAATCTGGTCATGAAAGAATCAGAAGGTAACCCTTATGTTACAATTTTTTTCTCCTCCCAGTTGACCCTTAATTAGATCCTCGATTCTGGTGCTACGGATCATATGACTGGTAACAAGGATTTGTTTTGCAATTTTTTTCCCAACTTTGGTAAAGCTATCAAAACGACTGATGGTTCCTTGTGCAAAATAGAAGGACATGGCACTGTTATTCTCAATGAACAGATTGTACTTAAAAATGTCATCTTCGTATCAAATCTAGCTTGCAATCTCGTTTCAGTTAGTAAACTTTCCACCGTCTTGCACTGCTCTGCATTTTTTACTGATATTGATTGTACTTTGCAAGCACTGAACTCGAAGAAGATGATTGGTAAGGCCAGCTTGCAGAATGGTCTCTATATTCTTCATGCCTCTACTAAAACCAAAATCTCAAAATCTTTCACCGCTTTAGAAAAAGTTGATACTGTTATGTTATGGCACTATCGTTTAGGCCATCCTAGTTTCCACTATCTTGCAAAAGTTTTTCCTGCTCTATTCATTCATAAAAGGCCAAATTCTTTTTCTTGTAAAGTTTGCTCTCTTGCCAAACATACTAAATCATCTTATTCTCCTACATACAAGCCTTCTCACCCTTTTGCTTTGATCCACAGTGATATTTGGGGTCCTTCTCGGGTGAAGAATGCTGATAATTGTAAGTGGTTTATCACTTTCATTGATGATCACAATATGATAACTTGTACTTATTTGCTACTGGTGTTTTTGCCCAATTTTATAACATGATTCTCATTCAATTTGGGTCTAAAATTCAGCTCTTTAAATCTGATAATGGCAGTGAATTTTTTGCTAAGTCTTTGGGTGCTTTTTTCAGGAAAAAAGACATAGTTCAGCTTAGTTGTGTTGGAACCCCACAACAAAACAACATTGCCGAAAGAAAAAAACAGACACTGCCTTAAAGTTACCCATTCTCTTCTATTTACCAATAATGTTCCAAAATATTTGTGGGAGAAGCCTTATTAACTGCCACATATTTAATCAACCGAATGCCTAGTAAGGTTTTACAATTTCAAACACCTCAATCTATATTTTTGCAATACTTTCCCCATTTTAAACCTATCTCCTCCATTCTACAACTTAAAATATTTGGATGTACTGTTTTTATCCAAAACATTGCTCCTAATAAGTCCAAGTTAGATCCTAAATCATTAAAGTGTGTACTGGTTGGGTATTCTTCACTTAAGAAAGGTTATAAATGTTATCATCCTCCTTCTAAACGATTTTTTACCGCAATGGATATAACATTTTATGAGCAGAATCCCTATTTCACTCAGGCTGAAATTCAGGGGAGACATGAAAGGATTTTAAGCCACATCAAGTATCTCCTCCTACTCTACATTCTCAACCTTCAAAATTGCCACCAATTTTGTCTTTACCTACAGATTTGTCACCTGTAGCTACTCCCATTGATTCATTTGTAGTACCTATCAATACTTCACCCACATCTACTACACCCTGAAAATACACCTACTCCCATTCAAAATTTTCCACAAACATCACCAATCAAACAATTTCGTGTCTATACAAGGAAAAGAAAACATATTCCTGAGGCTATTTTGCAATCTGATTCTTGCTGAGAATTGGATTTGGGTCCAGCTGCCGAAATAGAAAAAATCAATAAGTCCACTTCCCCTACTCTAGATGACTTCCCTGTTGCTATTAGAAAAGGGTTAGACAGTGTAAGCATCCTATTGAAAAATTTGTTGGTTATAATTCATTGATGTCGTCTTTTCAAGTATTTACAGCAACCTTGGATAAAGAACAGGTTTCCACAAACATAGCTGAAGCTCTAAAGGATTCAAAATGGAGAAGGGTTGTTGAAGAGGAAATTTGTGCACTAGAGAAAAATGCTACTTGGACCGTTACAGACCTTCCTCAAGGAAAAAAAGGTTGTTGGCTGTAAATGGATCTTTGTTGTAAAGTATAACTCCAATGATAGTATTCAACGATACAAAGCTAGACTAGTGGCCAGAGGCTTTATACAAACATATGGGATAGATTTCACAGAAACTTTTGCACCTGTGGCGAAGCTGAATACTGTTCGAGTACTCCTAAGTTTGGCTGTAAATTGCGATTGGAAATTACACCAACTTGATGTAAAAAACGCTTTTCTTAATGGCAAGCTAGAAGAATAAGTCTATATGAAATTGTCACCTGGCTTAAAGTCTGTTGAAGGTAGCAACAAGGTTTGCAAGCTCAACAAGTCTCCATACGGGTTAAAACAATCACCCATAGCTTGGTTCGAGAGGTTCACTAAAGTCATTCTGAAAAACGACTACAAGTAGTCCCTCACAGATCATACTCTTTTCATCAAGGTAACTTCTACAAATAAGAAAGTTATCCTTATTGTGTACGTGGACTACATAATTCTTACCGGAGATGATGAAGAAGAGATTTGCAATTTGAAGAAGTTAAATAAGGAATTTGAAACGAAGGACTTGGGAAAGCTAAGGTATTTCCTAGGAATGGAGGTGGCAAGGTCAAAAGGACTTGTGATCAACCAAAGAAAATATGTACTTGATTTACTCAAAGAAACTGATTTTCTTGTTTGTAAGCCGACGGATACACCAATGGAGGCAAGCTTGAAATTTAGCAAAGAAGATGGGTCCTTAGTGGACAAAGAGAAATTTTAAAGATTAGTTGGGAAACTAATTTATTTATCCTTGACAAGGCCATACATAGCCTTTCCCGTAAATGTGATAAGTCAACACATGACTAATCCTACTGAAGAGCATATGGCAACAGCAAATAGAATTCTTAAGTACTTGAAGAAAACTCCAGGACACGGCTTAATGTTTAAGAAGACACAAGACAGAACTGTTAAGATTTTTACAGACTCTAGTTGGTCGGAGACCTTACTGAAAGGAGATCCACTAGTGGCTACTGCACCTTTGTTTGGGGTAACCTTACAACTTGGAGAAGTAAGAAACAATCTGTCGTTTCAAGAAGTCCTGCTGAAGCTAAATTCAGGGCACTAGCATTGGGAATATACGAAGGAATTTGGCTACTTAAACTACTGAAAGAACTTGGCACTAATCAAGAGGATCACTTTGAAGTTTTGTGTGATAATCAATCTGCTATTCAGATTGCCAAGAACCCAGTTCAACATGATCGGACAAAGCATGTTGAGATTGATAGGCATTTTATTGTTGATCAAGTTAACAAAAAGACAGCCACACTTTCATACATTCCTTCAGAAGAACACATTGCAAACATTCTTACTAAGGTTTTGCCAAAGCCTGTTTTCAATAAATTCCTATCCAAGTTGGGATTATATAATGTATATTCTCCATCTTGAGGTGAGTGTAGGAATTATAGTGATATATGATTTGTTTTTTTTATAAGAATTTCAGGCCTCGTTAAAAACCTCCTTCTTGATTAAAGGTGCTTGCAGATAAGCTCCATAATCAGCGGAATGAGAAAAATAGTGCCTTAGGATTTTATTGAACATAACAATAAAATACATAAGATACATCCCTATAAGTGCACTAAACATAGGCAAGTAAACACAAGGCAACCTAGTGACCCATATACATCAACATTTAATCAACCAATTCCTTCTTTAACTAAGGCATCAGCCTCTAAATTGGTTGTCCTGTTTACCCATCTAACCACACCTTCGAACACATTAAGCCAGTGAACAATGTCTCTAACCAAATAAGCATAAACATCAGGACAGAATTCAACCCCCTTAACCCAATCCACTGCCATCTTGCTGTCACTTTCAATAATCAACCGATCATGTATCCTCTCTCGAAAATCAGCATAGAATAGTAGTCCCTTTTGAATAGCTTTCTGTAAATAGTTATCTACAATCCCTTATTTTAAGGGACCATATCTTCTAGAATTAGTATCTTTCCTTACTTAGAGTTTCCTACTTTAGAGAGATAATTTGTATATAAAGTTGTAATTTGTCCTATTGAAAAGAAGAAAATACATAGAATTACTCTGATTTCTACAAAGGCATCCATATTTGCATCTTAATTGGTGATGCCATGGCTTGAGTGCCTTCCACCACATGCCACAAGGCCATGCTTCTCATCCACATTCTAAACCAGATTAGTATTAAAGTAATCAGTCATGAATCTTGTCAGACACTTGAAAAACTTCAGACAAGTGATAGCCATCACATCAACATTAGGGAACTTATCTAGCGGAATTCTAATTTATGCAACCATATTCTTCATCAATTTCCCTATTAATTTTATTAGTCAAAATACTCAACTCCAGAATACTCTTACAAATTCTTCATGCAAAAGCTCACAAGAACAAGTAATAATGAAAACCACAATGGTTTTTCCATGCTTTTCAATCACATCGAGTCGTCCACCGTTTCAAACTTCTAAGAGGAAAACAGAAATCAACACACCTCAATTTTAATCAAGGCCAAAGATCTTCAGGAGAGAAAATGGGTAATTCGGATCTTTAAATTATATAAAACTTTAGTTTTTCAAAGAAAAATAAGGTTAATGCAAAATTACTACTAAAATAGAGTCTGAATACACTGATCTTTTATTTGGAACCTTCAACTAAAAAATCTCCAATGTGGCACTTTTTACCTCAACATCTTTTTTTTTCAATCCACTCGTTTACTCTGTTACCAGCAGATTTGGTCAGTTCTTTCAATATTTGGCACGAAAAAAGATCTAACCAATCAATTTGTTCTCCAAATGCAAAATTGCCTCCTACAAAATACTAGAATAAGGGAACAATTCCACACATACCAGGAAATCCTAAGAAATTACAAACAGAATTACTTACCACATTTTCACATTTCTTTTGTACAAGAAAATTAAGAAAAACAAGTCAGAAGATCTAGCCTGATATTCAAGTACCTTGAAAACATTATAAGGCATCTGTTTCTGAATTCGAAAGCTACGAACTTTTTCATGATCCACCAGATCAAAGTATATATCCCTTCCAATCTGCTCAACTAGATTTTCATTGCGTGCAACCTGATGGCATAACAAAAACAAGATAAGAAATATATAAATCTATAGAGAGAGTGAGAGAGAGCAGCACAAGGAAGGTTGTACCTTTATAACAGTATAGAGATGTGCCTCTGCTTTTTCTTTTCTCTTTTGCTCCTTTTCTTCTTGCTCTTTCTTCAATCTTATCTGAAATGTGAAGTTCAAAGAACACAGCAACAAACATAAATAGCATTGCAAATTTAAATTAGTAATCACCAAAAATCGGGGGCAATCTTACTCTGAGGTGTTCAGCGATGTCCTTCTCATCCACATTACAGATTATTTTGTCCTTGTCACTTTCTCGTATATACACAAGCATATATGCATTTGAATATTTAGTAAATTTAAATGGAATGTTGTTGAACCCAGGATTTGTCTGCGGTAACTGTTGAAGGACAAGGGTAAGATAAAAAGTATCTTCTAAAAGAAAGGAACCGCGAAAGAAACATCAAGTTTGGCACACGACAATCAGAGAACAGTACCTCTTCTTCACCACCATACTGCTCCTCCAATGCCCTCTTAATGTCTTCTTTTGTTACCCGTTCATCATCAAACTTGAACCTTGATGACCAATCCCAATAAACATTGAAGTGAGCATAAATAAAACAGGAAAACAATGACAGGCAATCAGCATAAAATCCTAGAATCAAGAAATTTACAAAACATGATAAGTACCACTGATCTGAGAGGGTTGGCCTGATATAAGCATAGTAGTGCCCGCCATGCACCCCACCGCTATGAACCAAAACACTGCATACAATGTGACAGAATATGACTATGTTTTACTACATTTTGCACACTCATCCAAGCAAGTTATAAAGGAATAGGTTACATTTTTTTGATAAGCACTTGAGAGAAAAGATGAGGAAAGTTCAGCAAACAGAAGTAACAAAAAGGCAGAAACAAAGTCTGTATTTGCATCTTAATCAATACAAAACCAACAGTCTTAAGTTGACATTTTCATTACTATTCTGTTTGAAATATGGTAAATAACAGAATTGGCCTATACCAAATCCACAGAGACCAACTTGATTAGAATAATATTGCACAAAATAATAATCATTGTAAATAACTGAAATGTGTTTATCCATCAGTAGAAACATGCACAATTTATAAAAGGAAGCAGAAATTTTCCAGTAATAGACAACTTCACTAAACCAACAACAATGTCAATAAATACCAAGTAACCAACAAAGACTAAAACTATATTTGGATTAACAGTGGTAAAGGAAAAGAAAGAGAATAGAGTACAAGATAGGAAGTTAAGGAAAGTAATTGATTATATGTTATCTTCTTTGGATAATTAAATCAGTAAAAGAAGTGAAAGTATGGTTCTTCATTTCCCTTCCCTTCCTTTACCCAAATCCAAACATAGGTAAAATTAATTGCTACAGGACAATGATGGCACCCTTAGGGCAATGTTGTCAAGGGTACCAGGCACACTCAAGACGCTATGACCTCTATATAGCCTGCGGCACAAGACGCATAGAAAATGCTTGCCCAACTAAACTAAGGCACACATATAAATATAATATAATATAATGTAATACATGTAAAATATAATTGATAAGGTAAAATAAATGCACCAAATATAGATAAGAGAAAATAATAAAAAAGAAATAAATACAATACAAAATACAAAGCCAAAAACTGGGCTCTGTTTTTTAACACAAACAGACAACGTGTCCTAAATTTTTAAACAACAAAGTGCACCTTAAAACAAACCATAAATAAGGAGAAAAATATTAAAAGAAGGGAAAATGATAGAGAAGATTGAGATTTAAGCAAAAAAAGTGTGAAGGTGAGCACAGATTGAAGGTTTAAAGAGAGGATGAAGATGTTACAATTTTTGAATTTGTTTTGAAATTTCAACCTAATAAAGTTGGTAGGTGTAATTCTAACATATATGGTATTTTGATTCCAAAATCCAGGGAAGCGACAGAAAGAGAGAGAAGGCAAGCAGTGAAGCTGGCTTTTTGGGCTTAAACTAAAGCGCAGCACAATAAGTCATCGCCTCTTTGAAGTAGCCTTGCCTGGTATACTGTAAAGCAGTTTTGCTTCTTTCTGCTGCGCCTGAGCACCTCAGGCATCACTGCCTTAGGGGTGGTGGTTATTAGGTTTTTTATTCTTTAGTTATCCCAAAATAACGGTGATGGTGTTAATGCTTTTGGATATGACAATAACAACAATAAATCAACCAAATCCTTTGTCCAACAAAAAGAAAGACCCATAAAACAGAAAACTAAAGAAACCAAAATAGAAACATTAGCTACCTGAAATTGACACTTTTCTGCAGAAAAACAAGATTATTATGGTAGTTATATAAGCTCATGTATCTTTGCTGTTACTTATGGTAGTTGATTGGATTCTGTCACAAGTTTCTGCCCCTACGTTTCTCAGTACTTTGGTTGGGGAAATTGGGACCTTAGTTTCTACTAGGGGTATTATTGTTAGATGGATTCCTAGGAGTTGCAATTCGGAGGCAGATAAGTTAGCTAAGGAGGGAATTGGTTGATGATTATAGCTTTATGGTTGGTTTGGTTTGTATTTTATTTTGGGAAGTTATGATGTAAGATGTAAGATTATGTAATTTTGGTTTATTAATAAGATGAGGTACTCTTTTCCTCCTTCCGATGTTACCTCTTCCACAAGAGCCAACTAAGGAGGTTTTTAATGAGACTTCCTATTCCTATAAAAAAAAAGGTTGCTCTAACTATAGGCTAGACTGGTTTGGTAGTATTCGGGTTAAAGCAGGATTTTAGCAAATTGGAACTGATAAAAATCATTAAAAGATGTGAATACAGGTTAGTAAGTACAATGCTTATAAAACAAAACCTAATGGTTACATTATTCTTATATTTTCCTTTGTCTTGCTGGCTCTTGAAACTTACTGCAGGCACCTTTTGGAATTCTACTAAACATTAAAATCTAATTGAATGGGAGTTCTGCGTGTTTTTACATAAATGATTAGTTTTGATTAAATGTTATACCATTAGACATCCTTACTTGAATAAGACCTTTACTTATGTCCCTATCGTTGAATGAGGAAAGGAAGGAAGCTGCTATAAAAATTCATAGGGACAGCACAACAAACTGAAAAACTACCTGTGAAGTGTATAAAGGTTGCGAACACTTCTGTCAGCCTCAGGTGATAAATACTTGCCATTCTCCCTATCCAGATCAAGTTGCAAGGGAAACTCATAGCGATCATTTATCTATACAAAAAGTATGATAAATGTTAATAAAGAAATGTTTCCACAGATATCAGAGACTAAAGATGACAGATTTGAGCCAAATGCATACACATGCACATAAATGAACATAAGAGAATAGAACGGAAATGTTGGCTAGGTTCTTGTCCATTGTTTTGGGTGCACTCTTTTTCCTCCATTCAGGTCTAGGGAGGTTTTTTAACAAAGCCCCAAACAATGTGTTTCCATTTCCCTATTAATAAAATATCTACTTTTCAAAAAAAAATTAAACTTCAGGCAACAAGTTACCCAGAATCAGCACTAATACGCATGAAAACAAGTCACTTATGTACCATTCCATAATATTGAGGGTAGAAACCTTAGGACTATATCTTTTAAGGAAAATATTAACCCAACATAGAAATACTCCAGGAAATTATATTTTTTCCTGCATATACTTGCATTAACAATAATAAACAATTCAGGTATCCTAATTCTTATTTTGATAATTCAGGTATCCTCATTCTACTCATAAATAAAGGAGAATATATTAGCAATTCCAAAGATAATTTAAAAAGATGATTCAGTACTACTTTTAAAAGTAAATTCTGACATTAAAAAAAATTGTGGGTAATTAGAGAAAGTTAACACAGACAATCATTCAGATTAACATCACCATAGTATGCTTACAATTGAAGATGCAGTAATAAATGCAGACAAAACAAGAATAGCATACATAAAAGCAACAGAAATATAAAACAATGTATTCAATTGTCTATTCAGCTACTAACCTTCACCATAGTATCCCGCATGAAATCATACTCAAAACGTTTTAACTGAAGTTGAAGAACAGGGGGAAAGTCGATGAAAAGAACTCCTTTCCTGGCATCCTGAAAAAGGCACAAAACCCCAGAAATTCTTTGAGCACCATCGTTTTAGCGAATATTTAAGCAAGTATGAAAAGTACAGAACATTGAGCCCTGTGGTTCATGAAAAAAACTATAACTCCTACAGTCAAGGAGTAGCCAGAGAGCATGAGGAAAACAGACTGATTTCCTAAGAATATTTAAACAAATATTTTTTTATAAGAATTTGAGGTCATATTTAAACAAAGATAGAAGGTACAATACAGACCAAACAAAGAAATGCAGATCTGAATCAACTTACTGAGTCCACAGTTTTGTATAATGTAGAATCTGATTACAAAGTTATAGGTTCCAGGTAAAAAAGATGAACTGATGATCCAAGGCATCTTACCTGTAAACCATACTGTTCAGCATGATACCTATTGTCACCTTCAAGACACTCCACTTCAACATATTTGTCAAAAGATGCATAAACATCTTTACAGCCTTTCACATCAAGCTGAAGATCTACAGATTATTGTGTCAAATTATAAGTCCCACGATCAATCTTCTATAATCTAGTATCTATTGTAACCTTAAAATCTGTACCATAAAATGACTCCTTTCTTGTTGACTTATAGTCCACATTAACACATTCAATATAATTCATATGATGCCCTTCAAACAACTGTTGAATTGTACCCTCCACAACTGTTCCCTGAGACAGTTTTAAAATAAATAATTTTTTTTACTACCATTTTAAATAAATTTACAAGCAAACAATCACAAAATACTAATTGAAGAAAACCCATATACCTTCATTTTGTCTTCAAGCTTTTCACAAAGAACCCTATTAAGTTCCTGGACATCATGCTGCATGAAAGAATCATAAGTGTCCCACCCAAAAGATTTTGTTAACTCCTTTGTTGCCACACTAGTGTCACTATACTGGAGCTTATAAAATAGACTCTGCAAAGCTAATGGAATACTCCCTGTTGGCATGTCATTCTCAGTTGTTGGCATATGGTACACAGCCTGAAATGTATGGTTCAAACATTTAACTTCCTCAAGAATTTTAACTATAAGAAATGTAATGAGGAATAAATATGCCGACCTTTCTGAAGTAGGGAATATGATAGAGTGTTTGCAGAAGAGAATTCATATAGCAGGTGGCTCCCTGATTCTTGAGTCCAACATAACCAGTCTCCTTTTTCGAGTCATGAGACCAATAATCAGCAACTTTGCGCACAGCAACATCAGCTTCTACTACACACGTGTCATTCACAAGAAAGCCTCTACTAGGGTCATATAGTTCACCAAGAGGCATGAATGAAGTGAAGCCCCAATCACTTTCACGTGCATTAAACTGATGCTGTGTGTCTGTAGAGAACAACGAATAATCAATCACACAAAATTGAGCTTACATGATAAATCAAAAACAAGTGGGCACAAAGACAATTCAAGAAATAAAAAATCCATCCAATATATCACATTCCGAGTCTTTAAGCAGAGCATTTTTATGTAAATTCATTTTAAAATTTGACCCACCTCCTCTTTCTTCTGAATTTCAATAAATTATAGGAGACACACCCAATATATGACACTCAGAATCTATCAAGAAATAAAGAACCAAAATAATATCTACATTCTTGCCAACATTTTTTTCATATTAATTTCAAGGATAAAAAGTAAATGCAGTGCACCACACATAGTGAACAAAAGAATAAAAAAGAATATGAAGTAAAAATGTGGAGAACTACTTTGCTCTAATGCCAAAATGTTCCTTTATTTCAAGGATAAAATGTAAATGAAGTACACCACACATAGTGAACAAAAGAATAAAAAAGAATATGAAGTAAAGAACCAAAATAACATCTACATTATTGCCAACATTTTTTTCATATTAATTTCAAGGATAAAAAGTAAATGCAGTGCACCACACATAGTGAACAAAAGAATAAAAAACAATATGGAGTAAAAATGTGCAGAACTACTTTGCTCTAATGCCAAAATGTTCCTTTAATAGATATCAAGGAGTACAACTTGATACCTCTATATTGAGGTAGTTACGACATCCAATCTTAATGTAGAAGTAACAAGGGCCTTTTATTCAACGGGGTCCCTGGCCAGTTTAATAACAAAAGGGATCAAGACTTGAGCCAGTTGTAGACCGAATTTTAGCCAATACAAAAATATCTGATTTTCAGAAAGCTAAAATGGTCAAAAAATGACTTGGAAGACCATATTGACTTATATTTTGCAGTTCATGAGAGGGTAAACAGAGTATGTCTAGCAAAGTCAGAAACTTGGGGCCATTTCAAGGCCATTAATAGCAAAGCCCAGATTGAGTATCAGGATTACTTAGACAATTAAGCCACAAGAAAAAAGCTCATAATTCAAAACAAAAGGCATTTTAGAATTAAGCCATTTCTTAAAGAGGAAGAAGTGGAAATGGAACAAAACAACACTTGAAATGTATAAAATTGATGCACAAACTAACACTCAGAGAAGTAAAGAATTCATGAGAGAAACAATGCCAATAACAAGCTTTGTATTACAAACAGCATGATATAATAAAAGAACCGCTATATAAAGTAATTGAATCATAAGAATTCCAGTACTACCAGTGTCAGATATACCTTTTCTAATTGTATACTTATTATGTGTTTGGTTGCAGACAGCTAAGCTGAACTGTGCATATCTACTCCATCCATAAGGTAAAGTTGCTGAATCCGCAACATCAAGATACATTGACAAATGATCAACATTGTTACCCTTGGGGAAAATAAGTATCCGCCTGTGCAATAGGATCCAATGCAAATCTTATTGATTAATCAATGCAAAAACAAGTTAGCTAGAACTCCAAAAAGAACAAATCGATCAACTAAAACTACCATTTGTAGCCTCCAATAAAAAATATGTCAGAATACAGCTTCTTAGTATTAAGCCTCGAAAAATTATCAATCGTCCATGTATACCGTCCTGACGGCGGATCATCCACTGCTTGTGCATCCACTTTACTTGCAGCTTCCTTCGCCACTGATAATAAATAACGCAAAAGTTCAAAATGCAAATCATAAAAAACATCAAATATATATGAATCATTAAAGAAAACAGGGCACAGAATATCCATAAATAATCAAAATAATGCAAATATGCCATTCCATTCAGCTGAATCTAAAAACAGATGAGAAAAGGATTCAATTCTTTAAAAGAAATTCAACTTGCAATCAGTTTCTCGATAAACATAGGAAAAAAAGAATTGAATTGAAAAAATCACCTTCCAATGGCTGAGGACCTTCGACGAAGTCATTGTGTGGGACCAACATCTCATCGTCCTCCTGCTGCAAAAAAAAAAGAAACACAAAAAAATGAGAGGTGCAGTTCCGATCTGCTGATCAAAACCCTAGGAATCCAGCCATGGACTCGCAGATAACGATGAATTCTCTCTTTCAAGTTGGATAGGAAGAAGCATTGAGATAGTTGAAAAGCGCAGCGTTACGGTGATCGAGACTGAATGGAAGTGAAATAAAAAAATTAGATAAAAAAACAAGAGTGAAGGATTCGATGGTTACATCTAACGGTGGAGGAGTCATCAGAGTCATGGGCGGCGATCGGCGGCTGTTCGATCGACTGAATCTGTCAGAGAGAGAGAGAGAGAGAGAGAGAATATGATGGGGTGTGCCCGTAGAAAAAGGGAAAACTGGTTTTGATAGGTCAGGGGCAAATCAGGTATTTCAACCAATGTAATTTGGCTTTTGGCCGGAGTTTATTTGAATATTCATTTTATTCGCTTTTATAATTAAAAAAACATGCATATATATCTTCTTTTTTAAAAATACAAAATTTTTTTAAAATTAGGATTTGAATAATATTTTTAAAATTTATAAAATTTATAAAAAATATTTATATTATAAAATCATTTAATTAATATTTATTAAAGATTATAAAATTAATTATTTATAATAATGTTATTTATTATTATAATAAAATTAAACTCTTATATAATATTATAAATTGATACCGTTTACTGTATATCTTTATTTTTATGTATTTTCTCTATGAAATTAATAATACTAAATTAAATGACACCAAAATCAATTGAATACTTTATAATATTAAATTTCATCATATTCGAATTTATGGATAAAAGAAATCATTTTATATTAAGAATATTTTTTTAAAATTTTATCTATTAATAATTATAAGTTGAGTGGTAAGAATTATATACATATATGTTATTAGATGTGGATTCGTTGATTTAAATTTTTTTACTTATTATATAAAAATATGAAAATAAAAGTAATATTATAATAATATTTAATTATTATTAAAAGAGATGGAGTTTTTAATAATATGCTAACTGAATTAACGCAAAATTAATTAGTAATATTAAATCAATTAATGATTTAATAAATATTAAAAAACAGAAAATAAATATTTTATATATAATATATTTAAAAAGTTTAAGACATATACTACCTGTCAAATTAAACTTGGATAAATATAAAATATGTTAATATCGCATTTAAAAAAAAGCTTGTATGTAATTTATTTTATTGTTATTATCTATATTTTTCTGAATAGATATTGTTACTATCTACTTTTATATCATTCTATTGATTAAGTTAGAATTAATCCAACTAGTTTTATTGTTATTATTGCACTGATAATTATATATTTTATAATTAATTTGTAATATTTAAATGCAACTTAAAAAGAATTATTTTTTAGAATAATATATGGTTATTATAAGACCGTGTTTATTTACAATTTTTATTAATAATTGAAAACGCACATATACCCATAGACTCGGTTGCTTGAACCAAGAAAGGAGAATCATATTCTCTTTAACCACCGAAGTCATTTTATAAGTTTACCGAATAGAATTATTTAATTCATAGTATTTGAAATTAAATTCCATATCATGTATAGCTTTTTCATGTATAACCCAGATGGTGACTAGGCAAAGTATAATTAAGTCATTGCTTAAAAAAGGTGGAAGAGGGTCAAATAAGAATGAAACATTGGGAATTGTATATACAAGAGATAGAAAAGTAAATGATTCATATTGCCTTATGGCATAATTTGTTCGATAATAATTAGGATTAGTGGTAAAAACCCCAATAATAATAAAAAAGCCAATTGAACTCTCAAGTATTGGTGCTAGTGAAGGTCATGGTAAAGGGTCATCCCGACAGAGCAGCAGCGAAAAACCAACCGCAAGCCAAAGCAATAGGAACAACTGCAGCAGCATCACAGTGACTCAACCAGGTTGAATCAGATACCTCTTGTAGACCAAGCACATTACCATAAATGTAACCCCTACACTTATGTGTTACGACTAGGTCTAACGGATTACATTAAATTTTTTTAAAATATTTTCGATAATTTAAAACCGTATTATAAACAATATTTAACTAAAAGGTCACATAGTTAATATGGATAAAAACCAAATGAGTAAGTATATAAAACCGTCAATGACTGAGTAATATATAATACATCAAATATCCATATCATAATAATAATCATAAAATAAGTATTTCAAAATAAAGACACATGTCACCGTAGATAAAAGCAGCTCGGAAGATAAAAAACATTACAACAAAATTCTCTGTAAGAATGTGTCGATCCTCCAAGTGTCTGGTTCAGGGTGCTATCCAAAAGTATTTGAAATGAGGAAAACAGTTTGAAAATGGTGAGTTAGGGAGCTCAGTATGTCCCAATAGTGCAAATAAACATGCTAGGTAAAATAATCCAGAGTGTTTCAGTAAGGTATCATAAAAAATTATCGATAAGTTGAATTTAAAACTCATAATTACCCTCCTCCTGTACACCAAAAGGCAATTCCCCTAAAACTACATCCTTAAGGGTTTACTTTATACCCATTGGGTACAGGAGTCATCCTAAGGGAGTATCTTGGGGGCCTGAGAGCCTACCCAAAAAAGTTTTTGGGACCTCGGAGCCTACCCAAGGGTCGCATTAGGTCTGTAACCTCAATACTCTAGTATCCAATCCAAAATAATATATCAATAAAACATTTCACACAGTAAACAATAATTTTCATGAATCTGTAATCAACATAATCGTATTTCCAGTGTAAACAAGTAAGCAAATAATATATATCAAACAACCATAATTCATAAACAGTAATCCAGTAAGTAAGTAAATCAGTAATTTCGGAAAATCACATTTTAAAATAGGTAAAACATTTATATGACACATAAGGAACACACCTCGTAAAATGGAGTCGACCAGGGTATCTACTGAGCACCTTCTTCACCACGCTCTACAACAGTGCTCAAACCTAATTCATAGTAAAACTGGGTTACTATCGAAGTAACATTTTTAATCTATGTAATCATAAGGTTTACGGGTCATACAAGAGACTATTGGCTCATGAGGTCAAACAGATCGAGATGAGCTGGGTCGAGCTGTCAAACGATCAGGAGAGTATTGTGTACCTTCAAATAACAGTATCATATCAATCTCTAACCTTAATTTAATAATTCCTAAATAAAACACTTAAGTACATATGCATGCTCATGTTTGACGGTCAATTCAAAGGCTTTCGGGTTCGAATTTTGCAAAACGGACTTCAGATTCAGACTCAAGACGTCGAAAAACATAAAATATGGTTTTTCATAAAATTTGACTTTTTGATCAAAGTCAACGGTCAACTCTGGTCAAAGTCAACTATCAGTCAAAGTCAATGAGTTGACTATGTTTGAGTTGACTCAATCGGGTTGACTCAGGTTAACCTGGTTTAGCCTGATTGGACCGATTCTAAAATGCTCCTGGACCGACGGAGGAGTCCCACGCGCACTACCGGCGCGTGCAACGGCGACGGGGCTCATTTTGACCGATTGACCTTTCCTGGATCATCTACACACTCCAATTAATCAGATTTCAACCCAAAATCACCCCAAGACTCACCAATTTCACCAAAAAAAAATAAATTGATCTTACTCACTCCGACGATGATGAAAACAGCGACAAACCTCTTACACACGGGTTAGGTTATGAGCACCCAGGGACGACGAGCACAACCTTGGTGGTGGTGAGGTTAATAGACAATGGTGGCTGTCATATTTTGCAATTAACTGAGGTGACGTGGGGGGTTTTGATGGTTCTTCAATGGCTTCTCCACGATGATCGACGACCGATTTCGGTGAGGGGTAATAAGATTTTTTGGTCGGAGCAAGGTGGCAGTCACGGTGGGGGTGGTGGCAAGCTCCAAAGGTAGTTGGACGGTTAGGGCATGAGTGTAACATCCTCTATACCGGGTCAGTGATTAAATTGTGAAATTTTAAAAGTTATTGATCAAAGTAGATAAATTGAAAGTTGAAGGAATTGATTGAAATATTTGGTGTAGGATCAATTAGCAAAGCATGGGGAACTAAAGGGGCAAATGGGTCTTTTGGCAAGGAAATAAATTAAATGTTTTTTTAAGGATATTTAAATCCACGTGGTAAGCTTATGAGAGAAACAAGGTTCTGGATATTTCTTTCTTCTTCTTTCTCCTTCTCTACCGTGAAGCCAAGCTAAAGGTGAGTTTTCTTGTGATCAAATTCTTGATGAATTTAAGGTTTCTTATTGATCCTTAGTTGATAACTAAGCTTAAGGAAAGCTTAGATTATCTTAAAACCATAAGATGAGGAGTGTATGAAGAATTAAAGAAAGGAAGTAGAAAAATGAAATTTTGGAATAGGGTTCTTAATAAGAATTAGAAGTGAAATTTGACTTGTCATTAAGCTAACTAAGAGGTATGAAGTATTAGAATTCAAATTAGAACATGTTGAAATTTGGGTTAGATTCTTAAACTCTACATGGAGAATCGGATTTCTAAGTTTTGAAAGTATGGAATGAATAATAAGTAGTTTAAGTAAGAGTATGTAAGTTAAGGATATAAAAAGAGGGGTAATATAAAATGTTAAGTAGACTAAGAAGAGATTGCCGTGCTAAAATGACAATTCTGGGTAATGTGCATCGATGCACATTCATTGTGCACCGATGCATCAATGATAAATCCCAGAAATTGTTTAAGGTGCATCGATGCACATGAAGTGCATCGATGCATTAATTTAAAAAGAAAACATCGAATGCCATCGATGCATCGATGCATAAGGAGTGCATCGATGCACCCCATTAAATACAAACATCGAATAAGATTTATGCATCGATGCATGGTGTAATGCATCGATGCATACCTCCATTAAAAGATGAAAATGACTTTTCTTTTAGCCTAAGAATGATAGCTTAGAATATACTAACTAGTATACTGATAAGTATCAATGAAGTACTATGTAGATACCGAGCCTAAACGAGTTCTGGAACCATCGACCAGTAGGATCAATCGAGGGAAAGACAAAGAAATCTAGGTGAGTGCATATGCATAGCATAAATATGTATTCTATTCAGTTCTAGACTTGTGATAAGTCTAGATTCAATATTATGATACTTGATATGAACTTATACCATATGAATTATGTGACCTGAATATGCAAGAAAAGTTATATGAGTTATGTGATAAATATATGAAAATAATATGCCTATGCGATATAAATTATGTGAATGGTGAAAACCCATGTTATGTAGATGAGAACTATAGGTATAGTTGGCATGCCAAGGGTAGAGGGTCTATGTGGTCCTTCGGGACATATATGTATTC